CCTAAACCCTAAACCCTAAACCCTAAACTATAAACCCTAAACTCTAAACCCTAAACCCTAAACCCTAAACCCTAAACTATAAACTATAAACCCTAAACTATAAACCCTAAACCCTAAACTCTAAACCCTAAACCCTAAACCCTAAACTATAAACCCTAAACTCTAAACCCTAAACTATAAACCCTAAACTATAAACTATAAACCCTAAACTATAAACCCTAAACCCTAAACCCTAAACCCTAAAACTCTAAAACCCTAAACCCTAAACTCTAAACCTTAAATCCTAGAGGTTTAGGGTTTAGGGTTTACCTCGAGCCTAAACCTTAAACCCTAGAGATTAACTCTTAGCGGTAAACCCTAAACCCTAAACCCTAAACCCTAAAGCTTTAGACATTATGAAACCCTAGGGTTTAGGGTTTAGGGTTTAGGGTTTATTCTTCATCACCATTTTCTTCCGTTTCTGTTTTTCTCATTCTGCTGCATCTCCTGCATCTCCTGCTGCTGCTGCTGCTGCTGCTGCTGCTTCTGCATCTCCTGCTGCTCCTGCTGCTGCTTCTGCATCTCCTGCTGCTCCTGCTGCTGCTGCTGCATCTGCATCTCCTGCTACTCCTGCTGCTGCTGCTGCATCTGCATCTCCTGCTACTCCTGCTGCTGCTCCTGCTGCTGCTGCTGCTGCTGCTGCTGCTGCTGCTGCTGCTGCTGCTGCTGCTTCTGCATCTCCTGCTGCTGCTGCTGCATCTGCATCTCCTGCTACTCCTGCTGCTACTCCTGCTGCTGCTGCTGCTGCTGCTGCTGCTGCTGCTGCTGCTGCTGCTGCATGCAGGAGCACAACCCTTACGGCATGACAGAGGAGTCATCATTTGCAGTTTTATTTCCTCGCTATAGAGAAAAATATATAAAAGATATGTGGGGGTCTATAAAGAAGGAGCTGTCTATACACTTCGTTGCTGCTGAACTTAATCTTATTGAGGGCTCTATCACCGTCAGAACTACACAAAAAACTTATGATCCTTATATTATATTAAAGGTAAATAAATATATTTATTTTGTTTTTATTTATTTTGTTTTTATTTTTTTTTTTTTTTTTTTTT